GTGTGTTTGTGTGTGTATATATATATATATATATTATTATGTTGATGATGATCTAAATACATAAGCATGATCTCTCTCAATTAAATATTAATAAAATAATGAATAGAAATAAGATAATGAGAGTGTAATTAATAATTAGAAATAAATTTGAATGAACAACGGACGAAGAAGATTTAATAATATGACGATTTGCGTTATAACAATTTTATAAATAATTAATGTAAAGATTTTTTTTATATATATATGTTAAACGTTTCGTTTTTAATTCATATTTTTTAAAGAAGAAAGAATATTAATACAACATATAAACACGATTTTTGTTGTTGTTCGTATTTGCACATATACGAATTATAATAATAATAATAATAATAAATAAATAAATAAATTTATGTAATTTATATTCGAACGATTGTTAAATCAATATTAAATCTTTTATCTCGTTGCGATTACCTTTTTTGTTTTTTTCGTTAGTCCTATTTCTTATCTTCTTTTTTCTTTTTCTTTTAGATAAAAAGAAAAATTACGTAATATTGTATTAAGAAGAAGGGGGGGGGGTGGTGGTGGTGGTGGTGGTGGGAAAAAAAGAAAAGAAAAGGCTATTAATTAGTTTCTAACGATCGTTGTAACGTAAATTATATCATTAACGATATTTAATTTCGTTTATCTTATATTAATTAGAAATGAATTAATAATAATAATTGCAGAGATATTTTATTTATTTAATTGTTTGTTTGTTATTTATTTTTATTTTTAATCTTCGATCTAACAAAACTGTCGACTTATCGAGGATAATAATTCGTAGAGAAAGAGATTCGATGATTGAATAATAATTATTTTGTAATCATTAAATTTAAATAAATTGACAAGAAATTTATTTTTCTTTTTTTTTTTTTTCCATCCGTTCGTCCGATTCGATGGAAACAAATTTGTGGCTGACGATAAATAAACAAAAAAAAAACAGAAAAAAAAAGAAAGAAAAAAAAAATACGAAATAAATCTAAATGCAAATAATTGAAAACAACGATAAC